ACTGTGCTTAGCTCGGCGGCATTTTCACATTTTTCAATAGTTTGCACAAAATTGGAAAAGTGCACCACTACATAAACAGTCTGAACGCACTTAGGTAAACATTTGTATCGGAGTGGCGCTTAGACTATGCTTAGCCTGGGTAATTTTTTCAATTTTTAATCACAAAATTACAAAAATATTTTATGGAAAATAAAAAAAGTTGTATCTTCGAAATGGCGGGACCTGCCTTTGCCAAATTTTACCGGGTCCAAATTTCATTTTAGTCAGTAGGTTTTTTTTCTCTTTACAGTTTCTTAAAACTCCTTTGTCATTTTACAAATCTTCAGGTTGCTCGTCAGTAGAATCCCTTTTGCCTAATATTTTCATTTGCTCGTCGATAGAGTCCCTTTTTCTTACAAATTTTTATTTGCTCGTCAGTAGGGTCCCTTTCTCCCAATATTTTTATTTGCGTATCAGAAGAGTCCCTTTTTTTACAAACTTTTATTTGCTCCTCAATAAGTTCCTTTTGTCCTAATATTTTAATTTGCTCGTCAGTAGAGTCCTTTTTTTCTCTTTGTCTTTTTATTTGCTCGTCAGTAGAGTCCCTTGTTTCTAATATTTTAATTTACTTGTCAGTAGAGTCCCTTTTTTCTCTTTGTATTCTTATTTGCTCATCAGCAGGGTCCCTTTTTCCCAATATTTTTATTTGCTCGTCAGTAGAGTCCTTTTTTTCTGATATTTTCATTTGCTCGTCAGTAGAGTCCCTTTTGTCCTCATATTTTAATTTGCTCGTCAGTAGAGTCGCTTTTCAAAATATTTTAAGCAAAATTTTGCTTGTCAGTAGAGTCACTTTTTCTTACAAATTTTCATTTGCTTGTCAGTAGAGTCCCTTTTTTCTTTTTGTATTCTTATTTGCTCGTCAGTAGAGTTCTTTTTTTCTAATATTTTCATTATGCTTGCCAATCATTACAAATTGAATCACACACACATTCATATTTTTTGAGGTATGCCTTAAAAAATGTTCAGAAACGTTCAAAATGTCGAGAAATGCAAACATTTTTATTTGCGATTTTTGGCCCATTACTATAACCACCCTACGGGAAGTTAAAAATAAGTGTATCCAAATTTGAGTTCGTAACTAAATTTGATCTATTTTTAGGCCTACAACCATCGAGGACATTCACAAGACGACAGCAGCAATTTCTTGTACAAGTGGAAGCACAGGGACTCCAAAAGGTGTTATGGTACCACATGCAGCCTTGCACCAACTGATTACACCTTTAAGAGGGTAAGTTAAAGGATTTTGTAAAAGTTAAAGAACAAGGAGAGGTTAAATTGCGATTCCAGTGAACTTTTTGGTGTCAGCGATAACCCGAAATCTGAACATACAGAATGAGTATGCCAATGGAAGTCCGGTGTCAGGGGTAGAGTAAATTCGTTAACCCGAGAACTGGGCGTACCTTTTAAGTAGCCAACGGAAGACCAGTTAGAAGTCTATATTGTTTTTTAACTTCCGAAGAAGAAGTTTATGTTTTCATCAAAAAATCCGATTCGCTAATTTTATGTTTTATCGACGTTTTCAAGCCATTCTGAATCGAATGAGACCAAATTTGGAAAAAGTATGTGTGTGTGTGTGCGTGTATGTGAACAGATTTTTTGCCGTAAATCGACGTTTTCTCAAAAACGGTTTGACCGATTTTAAAATTCAAAAGCCATTTGATGAATCTCGAGAAGTGAAGTGAAAAATTTTTCGTCTACGTTTTAGCCCGCAATTCTAATCGATTTTGAAAATTCAAAAACCGTTCGAAAGATATTGGTTGGGAATCGTGCTGATTACTTCTCGGTAAAGATCGACGGAGCCATTTTCTTGTAATAAAGTTTTTAAACAAAAAAAATCGACGATTTTTATTATTTTTTTTGACGGTAGATACCATAGTCTTTTAGAGCATACTAAAATATTATGGCCCTACAATAACTCATTTAGCTTTAAAAATTCATCAAAGTTTGCAAAAATTAGTATCGTTCTTTTGGCATTTGTCAAAATTAGACCTTTGATCGACCTTTTCTCAGAAACGCCTGAACCGATTTTAGAAATTTAAAAGCCAATTGATGTATCTCAATGAGAACTATCGTTTGTCAGTTATGTGAGACGATCTGCCAAACCGTTTCTTTGTAATTTGAAAAAAAGTGTTAAACTTTTCGTCCACATTTAAGCTCAAACTACTGAATCGATTTTAAAAAATCAAAAACTGTTTGAAAGATATTAGTTAAGAATGATACTGATTAGTTTTAGGTGAGAATCTAACGAGCCGTTTCCTTTTAATTAAATGTTGGAAAAAAAATTTAAGCCGATTTTTATGGAACGTTTTTTGGCGATATATATCATGGTCTTATAGCACTTACTGAAAAATTACGGCCTTACGACAAGTACTTTAATTTTGAAAATTCATCAAAGTTTGAGAAAATGAGTAGTGTTTTTGACATTTGTTAATATTACAATTGAAGGATTTGCTTTTAGAAAATACTCCGAGTTAACGTGTTCATTCGTTTTCAATTATGTGTAATATATCCACTCGGAATACTCTTAATCGCTCATAAATAAATTTGTTCAATATTGATTAAGTCAATTATTTACACATACCGGGAAGTTCATGTAACTTGCCTCAAGGCTAAATACCAATACCAACTAGTTCAATTCTTGATCCATGATCAATTGCTATCTTCATTGTATCACGTCGGGGTAACAGAAATAAATAAATTAGTAGAAATATATTTCTATGTTTTATAAAAATGTATTAAAAATTATCATTATCAAAACTATACAAAATGTCATGACATTAATAATTGTTTCCCACGCCAATAATTGCTATTTTATTAATTTAACATTTTTACGGTTTTAAATAAGTATAAACCTTTCAACCTTGTGCAAGAATTTTGAGCTTGACTGGTGGTCAAATAGACTTTAATATGATGAACTTGATGATGAACATTGTATTTAATGTTCGAATGCTTTTTTCAGCTCTTTTTTTTCAGAAGCGAAATTTGTGCATCTACTATGATCATTATAAAATTACTATCCTTTTAATATTAATTATGAATAAGCTTGACAAGAGCCTGAAATAATATCTATTATTATTGATTACGGCTTGCTTATGAATAAATAAATAAATAAATAAATAAAATATGGGAATTAAATATATAAATGTATATATCGATTTATACATGATTATATAGACACTAACTGTCTCAGTTTGTATGGGAATTGGATATATAAATGTATATATTGATTTATACATGATTATAATATATGGCCTAAGTGCCATAGTTTGTATGTGAATTGGATATATAAATGTATATATGGATTTATACATGACTATATATACACTAACTGTCTCAGTTTGTATAGAAATTGGATATATAAATGTATATATTGATTTATACATGATTATATATGGCCCAACTGCCTTAGTTTGTATGGGAATTGGATATATAAATGTATATATTGATTCATACATGACCATATATATACTAGCTGTCCCAGTTTGTATGGGAATTGGATATATAAATGTATATATTGATTTATACATGACCATATATATACTAGCTGTCCCAGTTTGTATGGGAATTGGATATATAAATGTATATATTGATTTATACATGACCATATATATACTAGCTGTCCCAGTTTGTATGGGAATTGGATATATAAATGCATATATTGATTTATACATGATTATATATGGCCTAACTGCCTTAGTTTGTATGGGAATTGGATATATAAATGTATATATTCATTTATACATGATTATATATGGCCTAACTGCCTTAGTCTGTATGGGAATTGGATATATAAACGTATATATTGATTTATACATGATTATATATGGCCTAACTGCCTTAGTTTGTATGGGAATTGGATATATAAATGTATATATTCATTTATACATGATTATATATGGCCTAACTGCCTTAGTTTGTATGGGAATTGGATATATAAATGTATATATTGATTTATACATGATTATATATGGCCTAACTGCCTTAGTTTGTATGGGAATTGGATATATAAATGTATATATCGATTTATACATGATTATATATGTCCTAACTGCCTTAGTTTGTATGGGAATCGGATATATAAATGTATATATTGATTTATACATGATTATATATGACCTAACAGCCTTAGTTTGTATGGGAATTGGATATATAAATGTATATATTTATTTATACATGATTATATATGGCCTAACTGCCTTAGTTTGTATGGGAATTGGATATATAAATGTATATATTGATTTATACATGACCATATATATACTAGCTGTCCCAGTTTGTATGGGAATTGGATATATAAATGTATATATTGATTTATACATGATTATATATGTCCTAACTGCCTTAGTTTGTATGGGAATCGGATATATAAATGTATATATTGATTTATACATGATTATATATGGCCTAACTGCCTTAGTTTGTATGGGAATTGGATATATAAATGTATATATTGATTTATACATGATTATATATGGCCTAACTGCCTTAATTTGTATGGGAATTAGATATATAAATGTATATATTGATTTATACATGACCATATATATACTAGCTGTCCCAGTTTGTATGGGAATTGGATATATAAATGCATATATTGACTTATATATGACCATATATATACTAGCTGACCCAGTTTGTATGCGAAATGGCAAAAAATAAAAAATAAAATTAAAAAAAAAACAAACAGAAAAAAGAAAAAAAAATAAAAAATAAATTAAAAAATTAAAAAAAAAAAAAAAAAATAAAAAAAAGATATATAAATGTATATATTGTTTTATACATGAATTAAATGTATATATTGTTTTATACTTCATTATACATATGAACTAGCTGTCCTAGTTTCTATGACAAGAGCCTGGAATAATATCTATTATTATTGATTACGGCTTGCTTATAAATAAATAAATAAGTAAATAAATAAATTAACTAATACTTTTTTTTTCCAGAGCCGATCTAAACGGCATGACAGTCTTCACAAACTCCGGTATGTCTTGGGGCTCCGGACTATTCATATTAATCTCCGGATTAATCGGCGGAGCCAGACGAGCTTTTACCAAAGAACCATTTAACGAAGAAAACTTATTAAGAATTATGCGCGAATACAAGGTAACACCAAAAACCCATCAAAACCCAATAAGTCACCAACTGACACCAATTTTTTCCAGCCAGGCCTGATGCTACTATCTTCTTACCAATTGTCTCTGATGAATTTGTATTTACAAGATAAGGAAGATCTTGCAGAACCATTTGGAGGTTAGTAATATAATAAATGAATTTGTGAAGGAATTAGTGCAGTAAACGGAGCGTTTTGTGTCTGAATTTTTTTACTGTGCTCCAATTCGCATAAAATTTTGGAATTAGGTTCATCTTACCCTCAAGTTCAAAAGTAATAACAATTCTGAAAATGACACCCTTTCTCTATTCTGTAATTACATTTTTCAAAATAACGCCGGAAATCGATAGAAGAACTAATAAAAAAAAAAGTTTTTTTAAAAAAACTAATACTTTTTAAGTTACTGGCCACTAAAAATTCATATATTTTTAGCGTTTTTCTTCGTTTTTTGCAAATATCTCTTAAAATATACATTTTAACGAAAATCATGTAATGAACAAAATAATGTCAATAAAATTCTTAATAAATCGGTGTTACATAAAGTGTTCTAGGAATAATATCAAGCTAGATTTGAAAGAGCAAAGTCGTTTTTTATTTCGTTCAAGATTTAATTGTTGTATTTAAATCCATCGAAGTGGCGAAGTTTTACATGTTATGCATTTCGGTGAAATTGCGTTTTATAGTTCTCAACATAAATTTTAAAATGAGTCCTGTTACAAGTTTTTTGCGTGTAAAATGAGTGAGCTATCATGCAAATAAGAAGCATATACGATGTTTTTTTCTTTTAAATCATATGGTTTAATGAGCGCCATTTCCACCAGAATTAAAGTAATTCTCATTCCATCTAGAATTCACTTTACTGTAGACATCTTGATGTATTCTAGCAGATTCACTACTTTTGTACAAAATATTTTCAGAAAACTCACGATTTTATAAAAACTTTTTTTCCGTTTTTTTTTTTAAATCAAACTTATTCTCATTATATCTCAAAAAGAATAAAAAATACGTATAAAAGCATATAGATAAAATCTAAGGGATCTTTCTGGCTTCTTACTGTTTTTACAGAGTTATGATTGTTTAAAGAGTGCGCGGCCGCGCAATCAGAGTCTCTCTCGAGCCCTTTAACCCTTCGCCGTTTCAAAATGAGAGGAGTTACGAAAAAAATTATGATAAAAAAAGTTGTAGCCCTTTTATTAACCTTTCAAATGGTATATTACAAATTGTGATGGAGCCGAAAGTAAAGGAGTTATGACCCGAAAACTAATAGAATAACAATTAATACTGCAATTTAGTACATGTATGTAATGTAATCGAAGAAAATATGTACGTACATGCATAAAAAAGTATTAATTTCTTAATAAACATTGATTTTCATTGATATCTATGTATGTAATTGTTATTTTTAATAAATACACAGCATTATTCTTCATACATTCGATTATCCGAATGCCCACCGACAACAATTAGTCCGGTTAATCGACGTTCTACTTTATATATATGCTTATGTGTATTTATGTATAATAAAAACGTATAATCAATGGGTAATTTTAAGAGTGGATATGGTAATTATTTTCGAAAAATTTAAATACCATTCATATCATTTTGAATTTCTTAATTTTCTTTCAATTTCAAAATAATTTCTTCGAACAATTTTTCATCACGGGGTCTAAAAATGGTTAAAAATTTGATAATCAAGTAGAAAATATGAAATATTATTTACTTTATACGTAATTCTTATTATACAATACCGAAATTTATTTTTAAGTTTTTTTTTTCAATTTAGAGGTTGTTTGAAGAGTTTTAGGGTTTTCACGGAGTTGAAAATGATTTTATTGCAAGGTAAATGTATTAAAAATATTTTTCAATTATATCCTTTAATATTAAAAACGTTTTCTAGCGATAAAACGGCTCAATAGTCACTTATTCATTAAGGGGTCGCAACCCAAATTGTTTTCACTTTTGAACTTGAGGTTAAAATGAACCTAATGCCAAAATTTCATGCAAATTGGAGCACAGTAAAAAAATTCAGAGTAAACTCTCCGTTTACTGAACTAAATGTGATTGTAGATTTTGATTGTTTTAGATGTAATGTTGCTGTTTGCTGTTGGTTCCAAATTGTCACCACAACAGGTCGAAACTATGCAAAAACATTTGAAAAATGGTAAATTGGTGGTTTCTTATGGATTGACTGAATGTATGGGTGGAACTACTACTATAACTTGTGCAGAATATAGACCAGGAACTGTTGGACACGTTTTGATGAACACAGAACTAAAGGTAAGGCTTTTTGATCAAAAACACCAAAAACTAGTGGTGTATGGCATCGTGTCTTAAGGCAAATTGCTCCAAAACTTCCCGTACCGTAATGAAATATTCGAGAAATTTTAAACGTTAATAACAAATACTGATGCTTTCATTATTTTTGCTATCTTGTTATATCTGAGCAAATCAAATGTAAATCATAAATCAATTTGGTGAACATTAACAATCGTCATTTCATTTCGAATTCAATTTAAAAAAAAAAACATTTGCCTAATTTGCACAAAATTGAAAAAGTGCTCACGTATAGTCACAGTCTAAACGCATTTGCAAATAATTCTGTGCGACATTTTCACCTATACTGTGCTTAGCTTGGCGGCATTTTCACATTTTTGAATAGTTTTTCACAAAATTGGAAAAGTGCTCCAGTATAAAAAACTGTCTAAACGCACTTGGGTAAGCATTCGCACCAGAGTGGCGCTTAGACTGTGCTTAGCCTGGGTAATTTTTTGAATTTTTAATCCAAAACTACAAAAATATTTTATGGAAAATAAAAAAAGGTGTAATAATTTTTTATCCTCAAAATCAATTGTTTTGTCAATGCAAGTAGAAGGTTTTTTTTAGATCATTCAAATTGGACGCTTAGTTTTCTAAAAAACTGTCATTTTTTGCACATTTAGCTTTGTATCTCCGAAACCGTTGGACCTGCCTTTGCCAAAAACTAACCACCACTTCTCTCCGTCATTGCGAATTGAATCATTCAAATCGGTTGATCCGTGCGCCCGAAAACGTGGACGAAAAATTGTATCCATACACACATACACACACACATCTTCTGAGGTGTGCCAAAATGTTCAGAAACCCCTAAAACGTAAAGAAATATAAAAAATTTCAATTTCGATTTTTGGACGATTACAATAACTCTACGGGAAGTTAATAACTAGATGTGGATTCAGAGATATGACAAATGTTTTAGATTTTCTAGATTATTTAAAAAAACAACACTTTTATTACAGTATAGTATTAAGCAATATTGTAGCTTATAAAAATTACTATAAGACATATTACAAGTTTTTTGTAACTTAATTTTTTTAACCAATTTTATTTTCTAATGTTAGATGTCATTCTGTGAGTCTATTTGAACAACGTCCTCTTGACATTTTTTTTTAATTATTTAAAAAATTAGCATTTTTATTGTAATATAGTGTTAAGCAATTTTGTAGCCTATAAAAATTACTATATAACGTATTATAACATATTTTATATGAATGAAAAGTTTAGAACAAAATAAATTGCAAAAGCTCTGGAATTACGGATGACCAATGTTTAGTTCTTCTCAAATATTTCAAAATTGATAATTTTTATCATAGAATAGTATTATGCAATTTTTTTAGCTTACAAAATTTTCTATGAAACATGTCATAATAATTTTTTGTAATTCTATAAAATTTGAGGAAAAACGCAGATTATACAATTCCACATACAAAATTTGTGAATGTGAAAAAACAAAAATTTCATATAAAACTGCCCCTATTCAGTTAGACAGGGTGAAACTACATAAAATTTACAACATTTCCTAAGAAACACTTTTATACACTCCCATATAAAAGTTTTGAATAAAACGACTTTGAATTCGATATTATTCTTAAGCAATAAATATAGAAAATTATTTTTTGAATTCTTAATCCAAAATTACAAAAATATTTTATGGAAAATAAAAAAAAGATGTAATAATTATCCTCAAAAGCAATTGTTTTGTCAATACAAGCAGAAAGTTTTTAAGATCATTCAAATCGGACGCTTTTTTGCCATTTTTGGCCAACTGATGTATCCTTTACCTTTGTAGATTGTGGATACTTCTACAGGAGAAACTTTAGGGCCAAATCGGCAAGGTGAGATGTATCTACGTGGCCCTACAATGTTAGGGTATTATGGTCGTCCTGAAGCAACTTCTGAAGTTTTGGATCCAGAAACTGGTTGGTTTAAAACTGGTGACATCGGTTATTATGATGAAGATCACTATGTGTACGTCACTGATAGAATTAAGGAGATTGCCAAATACAAAGGAATTTATGTAAGCTTTCGGTTGACAACTGTGGGTCCAATATAAATATAAATATAAATAGGGAATGCAATACCGATGGAAAATTTCAATACCGATATTTTGGTAATTTTTCATTTTAAAACCGGAATACCGGTAAATTACCGGTATTTTTATTATCTTAAACAAACGTAAACAAAATCCAAAGTTACTAGTACAAATATAAAAAATGTATATACAACTACAACTATATCCAACTAAACAATAAAATAAAACAATAAGTTTATTTTTTTTAAATAATAAACTAACAAAATTATATCCATTTTAATTAATTAATTATCACTATCGAGTATATTGAGTACTTTGCATCAAAAACAAACCTATGAGTAAGAAAGACCAAAAACTCATAAAAAATCATATTACATTATTATAATAAACTGTATTGTCTGTATCCGATGTGTTAAATTAGCATAATCTCCGATATTTACAAAAAAAATTCTACACAAACCTAAAATCGGATACGTTGTCGAGATAAATAATTAGTTACTATAATTGTTGAGTATTGTTATTTAAAACAATGCGATGCTTCTATAGTATTTTCAAACTACGAAACGTTTTCGAAAAATAATATTTTATAATTGCAATAAGAAGCAAACATATTTAGTAATTATCACAATTATTATGTATGAAGTTAGAAAAAATTAAAGATTACGCAGGGGTAATCTGTATGACAAAAAATATTTTGGCGCAAATATCAATTAAAAAACCGTTACATTTTTACATAAGATGAAACAAATATAATTATCTATCAGTCTAATTCTATTTATTGTAACACGATATGAAGCCCTTAGTAAAGCAATAAATATTCAGTTTAATGACGAGTTGAGATAATATTTGACATTTGTTTCTCTTATAAAATCACTTGAAGATATAGCTGTTTATGCGATTATGGAATTTAAGGGGCACAACTAGTGTAACCGCCTCAAAAAAGGTGATTTTTGGAAATTTATATTAAAAAAACTAAACTACTTTATCAATTATTTCAAAATTTTAGGAATATATTTATACATGTTTTAAGAACACATAGTAAAATTTTTGAAGAAAAAAATTAAATATTTTTAAAGTTATCGTCGATCTCCAACAAAAAAAGGCCCTTAACTGCTGCAGTGATTCCGGCCTTCTACGTGAATGAAATAAAAAAAAAAAAATCTCGTTAAACTAGATAATATTGTCTGTAAAATGAACTACGATATGATTACGAAATAAATCAAAAATTGACAAAATGGCGGCGTTTTTTTTTAAAAAAAGTCGAATTGTACCCAAAATTTCGGTCGTTTTTCGACTGCCAAAAATCGATTTTTGAACCGATCAAAAAATCGATAGTTCATTTTACGGAGAACTATATACAGAACATGTAAAAAAAATTCGATAGTGATCGTATCATTTGTTTTTGAGTAATCGTTGCAGCAAATTCGGAAAATGCTGTTTCGAGAAATATAAAATAATCGTTATACAATATTTTATATACTTTTTAAATGGCTGTAACTCAAAAACTATTTGAGGTATCGATTTGAAATTTTAATATGTTATTTTTAAAGGTGTAATCTACCGAAATATGAAAAAAACAAAAATCGATTTTTTCGAAATTTCATACTAGTTGTGCCCTTAAAGATAAATTTGTTCCGAGAAATTTAAACTTTAGTGTATTATGTGTCAAATAGCGCTTATGTAATAATACCGAAAATACCGGTATTTTTGGGATAAATACCGGTAAAAATACCGCCAGAAAATCGGGCGGTTTACCAGTAATTCGGTATACCGGTATTGCATTCCTTAAATATAAATATAAATATAAATATTTGGCAGTCATCAGTCTTTTACTTTGTAGATAAATCCAAGTGATATAGAAATTGTGATATCAAGACATCCTTCTGTAAGAAGTTGTGCAGTGGTTTCTGTACCAAATGACGAAGTTTGCGATTTGATGGTCGGTTTTGTTGAACTTTTACCAGATTACAAAGACAAGGTTACTGCCCAGGAATTGGAAATATACACCAATGGTAAGTACCCAAAAATGATGATACCTTTGGTTTGAGTAAATAACCAAATTTGGTTCTTTTCGTCAGAAAATGTCCAGGATTACGAGAAACTCCGAGGTGGTTTATACATTTTGGACGAACTACCAGTTTTGACCCATGGCAAAATTGCTAAAGCTTTGCTCAAGCAAAAAGCAAAAGAAATGCTGAACGAGATCATGAGCAAATTTAATAACAAATTGTTATCTAGAATGTAAACCTATAGTTGTTAATAGATTAAGTCATGTAGTTGTATTTATTAATTATTGCAATTAAAAATAAATAGTTGTTACAAACAGCCTTACCAGCTCTTTATCTATTGATTGTTAATTAATAAATGAAAAATAACAACATTTAGGATCAGAAACATGAGCCTAGGTAATACAAAACGCACTCATTTATTATATCTCTTGTAACTTTAGAAATGGTCATTAAAGTTAATAGGAATGTTTTGCAAATTTGTTCAAAATTAAATAATCTATAAATTTTTCTAACACTATAAAGTCCTACAGCAACTCGGTATACTTAAAAATGCATTTGAAATCAGAGAAGTGCACTCAGGGGACACAAAACGCATTTATTTATTGTATCTAGTGTAACTTTTAAATAGTTTGTTTAATTTAAACGAAATATTTGACAAATTTGTACAAAATTATAAAATCTTGAACATTGTCTAACATTATAAAACCCTACATCAACTCGGTATACTTTAAAAAAGCATTTAGAAATAAATAAATATCTTCAATAAACTCGATTGAAAACAGTATATAAATGACCTGAAGTAATGTGCACCGGGCGCATTTATTTATAATATTTTTCATAACTTTTGAACAAATTAAACCTAATATAAATGGAATATTCGACAAATTTGTTTAAAATTGAATAATCTATGAATTGTTCTAATATTATAAAATCCTACAGCAACTCGGTATACTTTAAAATGCATTTGAAATCAGAGAAGTGCACTCAGGGGACACAAAACGAATTTATTCATTATATCTCTTGCAACTTTTAAACTGTATGTCAGATTTTGTTGAAACCTCTGGCTAATTTTTGTAAAATTAAATCATATACAGTATTGTCTAATATTATAATGACCTACAACAACTTGGTATACTTTAAAATTGGGTTCGAATCTTGAATAATAATTTTTGCTCGTACAACTATGTGAAAGTACTTGTTCTGCAAAATATGTTTAATATAGTATCACTAAAATATAAAATGTTATGCGTTTTATATTTTATAATAAAGTTCAATTTATAGTAATTATTTTTTACACCAAAATATTTTAAATTTACTTTTAAAATATAAAAAAAAAGATTTTTTTAAATTAATGAAGTAATTGCTACTATAAACAAAATAATTTTTGTACGGACGTACTTTTTTATAAATAGTCACATAAATTTGTTTCTTTACGAAATTTTACAGGTTTAATATTTTTACCATTAAAATAAATATATAAAGTATGACATATCCAAATTACAGCTTTTTACAACAAATATTTTACCCACAGCAATTTTTCAAAAACATATCTTTTGTTTTTCAGAAACTAACGAATAAATTACATACTCAAAACGCTTTAAAAATCGTACGCACTTTTCCGAAAATTGTGTAAATAAAGTTGCTGTAGTATAAAAATGTTTATACTTTGATAATTTTAGCATTTAAATAAATATATAAAGTATGACATATTCAAATTACAACTCTTTACAACAAATGTGTTAGCCACAGCAATTTTTCAAAACATATTTTTGGTTTTTCAAAAACCAACGAATAAATTACATACTAAAACGCTATAAAAATCGAACGTACTTTTCCTCAAATTTGTAAATAAAGTTGCTGTTGTATGAAAATTTTGCACTTTGATAATTTTAGCATTTAAGTAAATATATAAAGTATGACATATCCAATTTACAATATTTTACAACAAATATTTTAGCCACAGCAATTTTTCAAAAATATATCTTTCGTTTTTAAGTAACCAACGAATAAATTACATACCTAAAACGCTCTAAAAATCGTACGTAGTTTTCTGCAAATTTGTAAATAAAGTTGCTGTTGTATGAAAATTTTGCATTTTGATAATTTCAGTATTTAAACAAATATATTAAAAATAGCATATCCAAATTACAACCTTCTGCATCAAATAGTTTTACCACAAAAATTAATCAAAGTCTGAATTTTTGTTATAAAAACACTATTTATGCACTACTTCGGACATTAGTGCATAATTCTATAAATTTATGAAAAAATTATGGTTTAATATTTTTAATAATTAAACAAATATATATTAAAAATAACATATCCGAATTACAACTATCTACATAAAATAGTTTTACGACAAAAATTTATCAAAGTCCAAAATTTTGTTGTATAATCACAATTTAGGTATCACTCTAGAAAATCACTCATCATAGTGAAACGAAATTTTTTTTTAATTAAAAAAATATTATATAAATATATAAATATACAAATATACATATATATATACATATATATATATATATATATATATACATATATATATATATAATTTTCTGATTGTTTAGTTTTGACAATGACGATGTTTGTTACAAGGTTACTGATACAAAAAGCATCTAAAGTCTTCTTATATCATTAAAGTATTTAAATATATGATTCTGTAAATTTGTAGCACGCTAAAATAGACAAGGAGCTATTAAAAAATACTCAGAATTTTAAAAAAAAACATTAAAATAAAAAAAAGTACTCGAACTTATATAAAAAATTTGAATAAATTAGTCAAAAACAACTCATACTGAACAAAAAATTAACAAGACATATTTTTTCAAATTAATTTTTAAATTAAAATCCTGATAATAAATATTAAAAATAATTTGCACATTATATTTATTAATAATTAGTAAAATTATATTTTCAGGATTTTTCACCAAAAAAAACTCTACTGAACCAAAATTTACCCAAAATACTTGCACTACACTTTTTTGCAGTACCAAAAAAAATGTTTTATCATCAAATTTCTTTTATCAAAGAAAAGAAAACTGGGTTGGAACATTATAAATTTATTTCCTATATTTAAGGATATGCAAAATAATGATTTTTTCTATAAATATCCCCATCGTTAAAATAATGAGTCTGTAATTTCACAAAATCGCATTCTAATTTATTATTTATGAGAAGAACAGTAGTTTTCTAAGGACGTATATATATGTATAATTTCCAGTGCAAATAATTAATAAAGACAGTGACGTAGATTGTCATTTTTTTAATGATAAGCAATTAATAGATAGGGCACTTGAGAGGAAGAAAAATTGTTTGGATAAAATTAAAACTCTTAAGATAATTTGAGATAAAACTTGAGATTAGAAAATTGGATTAATTTTATGTTTTTAGACAAAAACCAAGAAAATGTTCCGAATTTTCTATTTATTGCTTAAGAATGAAATATCATCGAATTCAAAGTCGTTTTATCCAAAACTTATATATCGGAGTGTATAAAAGTATTTTATAGGAAATGTTGTAAATTTTATCTAGTTTCACCCTATCTAACTGAAAAGGGGCGGTTTCATATGAAATTTTTGAGTTATTTGACAAAAACCAAAAAAATGTCCCGAGATTTCTATTCATATTAAGTCACCCAAAACAAATAAATTTCACTTCTTTAATAAAGTATGTTTAAGGTAATAAAAATTTAATTAAATTTAATAAAAATAAACATTTAAAAAAATTATTTATATGAACTTACCATTTGTGCAAAACTAGTTTTATTTCCTCATCGTCCTCCATCTGAAAAAAATATAAAAAAAGTTTTATTATAATAATAATGAATATTTAAAAAAACAACTGAATATTCAGTCTATTTTTTCTAATAAATTTGAGTAGAAAATTAATATAATATAATAAAAAGATAAATCAAATATCATTTATATTTATATTTTGCATTTATATTTATATTTTGCATTTATATTTACATTTATATTTATATTTACATTTGCAAAAAATTATCAAAACAAACAAATTCTATAAAATGACAAATTTATCTTTTGTTAATAAAAATAAAATAAAGAAGATCTAGAAAGACAACATGAATAACAATATACAAAATTAAATTAAATATATTAAATAAATATATAAAATATTTGTTATGAATAATAAATAGTATAAAAAATAAATTCGAATGTGTTAAATTTAATAGTCTTAAAAAAATTGATTTAATATAGGGTCCGCCAAATAATTTTTTTTTACAAACTACTGAATATTTTCTAAATTTTTTTTTCATTTGAAAGAACAATTCTTTCAGTTAATAATGAAATTAATTCAGTTAATAATGATTATAATAATTTTATTCAAAAATGAAGAAAAAAAGCCTATATATATTTGCCTACAAAAGTAGCTACTAACTATCTTAATTTCTAAAATTTCTAATTATAATTGTGGTAGAAAATTTTTTTTTTTAATTTTCTAGTACTAGTATTTTTTAGATTTTATTCCGAGAGTCTCTAATATTCTTATTACTTTTTCTTCTCCCAGCTCCCAGTCTATCTAAGATTACAGAGGAACTTAGTCAAACAATGTTAGTACATGACTTGCACATAATATTATTTGATATTTATATCACTCAGGAAAGAAACTATTATTTGAATTTCAGACGTGATTTGAGAACATCTCAAATATCATCTAATTCAACAAAATAAATTTAATTTTATTTAATTAATTAATTAAATAATTGATTACTTGTTAATTGATTAGGTTTGTTTTGTTTTGTGTGTGAACAAAAAGTAAACAAATTTTTGAGTAAATAAGCAAAAGGTTAAAAATCAAGAAGGTTTTATCAGAGTGAGTATTAATAATTATATATATATATATATATATATATGTATATATATATATATATATATACATATATATATATATATGTATATATATATACATACATATATATATATACATATATATATACATTGGTTTATTATATGAGAGTATTAACCCAGAGAATTTTAAGCTCTTTCGTCAAACTTTAAAAATTATTTAAAAATATTAATAGTGTGTATAAATTTTTGTAATTTTAATATGTTTTACCTAGATGTATCTATTTTAACGACAAACACTAAAATTGATGATTTTTTTTAAGTATAATATGTAATAGTAACTAAAATCTAAACAATATACCCAAAAATCATTTAGGTTTGTGATATAAGTATTTACTTGTATGTCGAACTTTGAAAATTATTTAAAAATATTAATAGTGCCAATAAATTTTTGCAATTTCAATATGCTACACCTAGATGTACCCATTTTACCCACAAATACTAAAATTGATGATTTTTTAAGTATAATATATAATAGTAATTAAAATCTAAAGAATACCTGCAAACATTATTTGGGTTTGTAATACAAGTATTTACTTGTAAGTCGAACTTTGAAAATTATTTAGAAATATTAATAGTGTCTCCAAATTGGTTCAATTTTTATATGTTTCACCTAGATGTATCTATTTTAACGACAAAAACTAAAATTGATGATTTTTTTTTAGGTATAATATAAATTATTATACCTTTGAAAATTATTAAAAAATATTAATAAACAGTCTAAGTTTATGAAATTTTAATATGTTTTACCTAGATGTATCTATTTTAACTTAATTTCTTTCAATTCCAAAATTTAATAATGTTAATATTTAAATAAATGTATAAAATATCATTTATCCCAATTGCAGATTTTTACAGCATTTTTTTTAATATTTACAGATCCACAAATTTCTAAAAATGATTCCAAGTCTAGAAGAAAATGTCCTAAGGGGCGAAACAGTGAGTATGGACGATTTCAAAGGAATCGGAGAAACAGTTTTTGAAAAAATGGTGCAATATGGTGACAATATTGCCATGGTAAGTAAATGATTATATAAAATAATATACAGTAAGGAACAATCACGAATTTTTAGTATGAATACCAATTTTTTGAATCATCAATTTTTTGAAATGCCAATTTTTTGGAATACCAAATTTTTTTAAATACCAATTTTTTTAAATGCCAATTTTTTCAATTACCAAATTTTTCAAATACCAAATTTTTTAAATGTCAATTTTTTTAAATGTCATTTTTTTTAAATGTCAATTTTTAGAGTTACCAATTTTTAGAGTTGCCAATTTCTTGAAATACCAATTTTTTAAAATACCAATTTTTTTAAATACCAATTTTTTAAACAACAATTTTCTTAATTACTATTTATTCTGGATACCAATTATCTTAAATACCAATTTTCTTAGATACCATTTTTTCTAGATACCAATTTTCCTGAGAACCAATTACTCTAAATACCAATTTTCCAGGTTACCAATTTTTCTGGATTCCAATTTTCCTAGAAACCAAATTTCATAGATACCAATTTTTTATGACACCAATTTTGTAGGATACTAATTTTCTTGGATACCAATTTTCTTGGATGCCATTTTTCCTGTATACCAATTTTTCCTGAGTATCAATTTTATTAGATACTAATTTTCCTAGATACCAATTTTTCTAACTATCAATTTTCCTGGAAACCAATTTTCCTTGATACCAATTTCCCTTGGTACCAATTTTTCTTGATACAATTTCCCTAGATACCAATTTTCCTGGATACCAATTTTCCTGCATCCCATTATATCTGGATACCATTTTTCTAAATACCAATTTTCTAGAATACCAATTTTTCTAGATACCAATTTTCCTAGATACCAATTTTCCTAGATACCAATTTTTCTGGTTACCAATTTTCCGAAAACACCAATTTTCCAGAGTACAAATTTTACAAAGTACCATTTTTTCTAAATAACAATTTTCTTAAGTACCAATTTCTCTGGATTCCAATTTTCCAGTATACCATTTTGCCTGGGTACCAATTTGTCTGGATTCCAACTTTTCTCGACACCAATTTTCCTCGAAACCAATTTTTCTCAACACCAATTTTTCTTGACATCAATTTTCCAAAATACCAATTTTTCTGGATACCAATTTTCCAAAGTACCTATTTTTCTGGATATCAATTTTCCACAAACACTCATTTTTTGGGATACCAATTTTTCAGAGTACCTATTTTTCTGGATACCAATTTTCCAAGGGCACATATTTATCCAAAATACCAGTTTTCTTAAGTACCAATTTTCCTCGACACCAATTGTACTAAATACCAATTTTTGAAACTAGATACCAATATATTTTATTACTGGCCTTAGTGGCAAAACATTTTATGCTGGATAACAATTTATTTTCACCAATTTCACAAATTTTTTGGACCAATTTTTAGCTAGGTATGTATCACTAGTGATTAAAATTCTTTTGCTAGATATCAACTTTCTTAGCCTGATATTTATTTTTTTAACTAGATATCAAACATTTTTGTTAGATACCAAAATTCTAGTTGACGCACCAATTTTTCTAGCTAGATACCAATTCAGCTATACACCAATTTGCATTATTACATACCAATTTTCTTTACTAGATACCAATTTTCTTTGCCAAAATAAAATTTTCCAACTTGATTCCTACAATCTTTGACCAAATTCCTTAACAAGACACCATAATCCCTGTCAGGATATCAATTTTTTTACCTTGATACCAACTTTCTTTCCCTGGATACCAATTTTCCTAGCTAGATACCAATTCAACTACACACCAATTTGCATTACTAGATACCAATTTTCTTTGCCAAAATCAAATTTTCCCAACTAGATACCAATAATCTTTGAACAAATTCTTTAACAAAACCTTAATAATTCTTGTCAGGATATCAATTTTTTTACCTTGATACCAATTTTCTTTCCCTGGATACCAATTTTCCTAGCTAGATACCAATTCAACTACATATCAATTTGGAGTACTAGATACCAATTTTTTTTGCTAGATATCAAATTTTTAACAAGATTCCTACAATCTTTGAACAAATTCCTTAACAAGACACCAAAATTTCTTATCAGGATATCAATTTTTTATACTTTGTGTCCAATTTTAGATCGACGAAGAAACCAACGAAAAAGTAACATTCACCACTTTGCGCGAAAGAGCAGCCACGATTGCTTTATCTTTACTAGCACGAGGAGTAACTCCCGACGACGTCGTCACTCTCGTCGAAAAAACTTCCAGGGAAGCCTTTGCAATTGTTCTAGGATGCATGTTTGTGGGCGCCAAATTCAATGTTTTGGACGCAGGACCAACTGCAGGTAAAAATATAAAGCACTCTTTTGTAATTTCAATATTTAAGTGGCGGAATAAAAATGTTCTTGACAGATGTCAGTTGATTGACGCCAATGTGATGACTAAACTACACAGCACACTTGGAGCTACGCCGATGCGAATGTCTCATCTAGCAAGCTATAGCTAGATTTTTGTTTTCACGATCGTAAAATTGCTCTCTCGGTTTTAGTCATCGATCAATTGTCGGGCTAATAAATTGATATCAAAATTTATATCATATCAGTTTCGTTGTAAATTGAGTTATCAATAAACTCACATTATCATCGAGTCTCCAACATTGATTTACGGTTTCATTTCTAAATATAATTTAATAATATTAAATAGCACACTTATGCCATATTTATTTACCATTGTATTTCCATTTATCTTTTTCAGCTGTGATTCTACCTCACCAGTTTCCCAATTTGAGGCCAAAAGTGGTGTTTTGCCATCAGTGTGCAGAAGATTTGGCCCAGAAAGTGGTGCAGGAGACCGATTTGGACGCAGAAGTCATCGTTTTTGGTGGAGCATCCAATCATGGAAACAAAACTTATGAGGATATTTTTGAGGAGTTTGGACAGGTGGAGGAGATCGAGAAATTTAGGTAAGTATGATACATGACTCTTTAAGACATTTGAAACAATATGCAGATTTGTAGGACAACTTGAGGACTTCTGGGATAATCTAATGACTTGAGATCGTGAGATTTTTTTGCGACATTCCTAGTACTAAAGACATTAACGACATCTTAAGGACTTTTGTGGTGTCTTGGAGACTTTCACGACGTCCTGGAGAGTTTCACGACGTCCAGGAGACATTTACGGCGTCCAGGAGACATTCACGACGTCCTGGAGACATTCACGACGTCCTGGAGACATTCACGACGTCCTGGAGACATTTACGACATTCTGGAGGCAATCGCGACATTCACGACGTCCTGGAGACATTTACGACATTCTGGAGGCAATCGCGACATCCTGGAGACATTTCCGACGTCCTGGAGACATTCACGACGTCGTGGAGATATTTATGACCACCTGGAGACACTTTCGACGTCCTGGAGACATTTACGACGTCCTGGATACATTCACAACATGCTAAACATCTCCTCGTCATTTTGAAGACCTCCTCGTCATTTTTGAGTCCTCCACGTCAATTTGGAGATTTCTTCGTCATTTTTGAGTCCTCCTCGTCAATTTGCAGATCTCCTCGTCATTTTTGAGTCCTCCTGGTAATTTTGGAGAGCTCCTGGTAATTTTGGAGAGCTCCTTGTCATCTAGGAGAGCTCCTGGTCATCTTGGACAGCTCCTAGATATCTTGGACAGCTCCTAGATATCTTGGACAGCTCCTAGATATCTTGGACAGCTCCTAGATATCTTGGACAGCTCCTAGATATCTTGGACAGCTCCTAGATATCTTGGACAGCTCCTAGATATCTTGGACAGCTCCTAGATATCTTGGACAGCTCCTAGATATCTTGGACAGCTCCTAGATATATTGGAGAGCTCCTAGATATATTGGACAGCCCTAGATATCTTGGACAGCCCCTAGATATCTTAGAGAGCTCCTAGATATCTTGGAGAGCTCCTAGATGTCTTGGAGAGCTCCTAGATATATTGGAGAGCTCCTAGATATCTTGGAGAGCTCCTAGATATATTGGAGAGCACCTGGATATCTTGGAGAGCTCCTGGTAATCTTGGACAGCTCCTAGATATCTTGAAGAGCTCCTAGATATCTTGGAGAGCTCCTAGATATCTTGGAGAGCTCCTAGATATCTTAGAGAGCTTCTAGATATCTTGGACAGCTCCTAGATATATTGGAGAGCTCCTAGATATCTTGGAGAGCTCCTAGATATCTTGGAGAGCTTCTAGATATCTTGGAGAGCACCTAGATATCTTGGACAGCTCCTAGATATCTTGGACAGCTCTAGATATCTTGGACAGCTCTAGATATCTTGGACAGCTCCTAGATATCTTGGACAGCTCCTAGATATTTTGGAGAGCTCCTAGATATCTTGGAGAGCTCCTAGATATCTTGGAAAGCTCCTAGATATCTTGGAGAGCTCCTAGATATCTTGGAGAGCTCCTTGATATCTTGGAAAGCTCCTTGATATCTTGGACAGCTCCTAGATATCTTGGAGAGCTCCTTGGATAGCTCCTTGATATCTTGGACAGCTCCTGGTCATCTTGGAGAGCTCCTGGTCATCTTAAAGTCTTCCTCGTCATTTTGGATTCCTCTGCTCATCTTGGAGACCTCCTTGTCACTCACTTAGAGTCCTCCTCGTCACTCTAGAGTCCTCCTCGTCACTCTAGAGTCCTCCTCGTCACTCTAGAGTCCTCCTCGTCACTTTATAGTCCTCCTCGTCACTTTGGAGTCGTCCTCGCCATCTTGGAGTCCTTGAAAACATTCTGATCCCTGTCATCCTGATAACAATCTGATGATTTTTCAGGCATTCTGCTCATCTTTCAGACCTCCTGCTTATCTTTCAGACATCCTGCTCATTTTGCAGTTGTTCTAACTTCAAAAACATCCTTGTCATGCTGAAAAACATCCTCGTCATCCTGATAGCATCCTGGTCATCTTGCAAAACCTTCTAGCATTTCAAGCTTTTTAGTGATTCATCCTTTGTCATCCCTTAGGAGACTTTTTAAACCCAAAATTTGAGTCAATTTTAATAGAATTTTTTTTTACTAGGCCAACTGTGATTGAGAACATTTATGAAACTTCAGTCTGCATTTGCTGCACCAGTGGAAGCACTGGCAACCCTAAAGGAGTAATGGTCAGGCATTCGGGATTGCATCAGGTCACACTGCCCTTAAGAAAGTAAGTATACTACAGGATAAATTTGAAGAAAAAAAACTGACCATTAGATACGATACTCGTATTTCTAGTATTTAAATATAAATATCTTTTTTAATGATTTCTTTTAGTGTTGATCTAGAAGGAAAAGCAATCTTTACGTATTCTGGGATGTCCTGGGGTTCAGGAATCTTTATGTTGATCGTTGGAATAATTCATGGGGCTTATCGAGTTTATTCCAGGAGACCATTTAACGAGGATGTTTTGTTAAAAATCATGGAAGATCACAAGGTAAGATATTAATAGATATATACATGGGCTGTTCAAAAAGTTTTCGTAATTTTCGTTTTTTCAAAAAAATATTTATTTATTCGTCTACATTAATGTGGTCCCCTTCAAAGTAGTCCCCCCCAGATATAATACACTTATGCCAGCGTTTTTTCCAATTTTCGAAGCACCCTTGATATTCACTTTTTGATATGTCCTTGAGCACTCTCAGCGATTTTCTTCAATCGAGGAAAACCGCCGTCCTTTCATGGGTCTCTTCAACTTTGGGAATAGGAAAAAGTCACACGGAGCCATATCTGATGAATTTTTGCACTTTGCAACACTTTATTTCATTTTTTACGCAAAATTTAATACAAATTCTTTGACTTTTCAATTCTTCCATTGTAAAAATCGCCGAGCTCAGAAAAACACGTCGAACCTTAGCGACTACCACAGACAAAGTAAACAGTGAATATAGCTGAAAATTTCATCATACTTTAGGGGCATGTATACCAACACAATAAAAAAAAAATTTTGACAATCAGACACTCCAGACCCGCGAAATTTAATTATTAGTAATTCCGAGTACTTTTTGAACAGACCACGTATATATAACTTGCTTGCTGAATCAATTAATTAATTAACTATGTTTTATATTTTGTCAGCCTGGTTTCATGCTGCTCTCATGTTTCCAAATATCTTTGCTCAACGCGTATCTACAAGAGAAACCTCATTTGGCAGAACCGGTCTCAGGTAAATATATTAATATACTAGCTGACCCGGCAAACGTTGTTTTGCTAAGTAAGGTATATTCTAAACAATTTCTAGAGAATCAAAAATATTAAGAATGTGTTGTTTGAATGCTATATACAATGAGGTATTATCAAAACAATAAACCTCATTAGTTTGTCTATATTTTGTCCGAAAATTTTATACACTTTCTATAGAAAACATGGTATAATACAATCCAAGTCTTTTGGTCTTTCGACTTATTGATTACGTTTCAAGTTTTTCAGATTCTTTTTGGATTCTCGATTTTGTGTATAATTGTAAATAATACTACTGAGCTTATAAAAAAATTTAAAATTTCTGCGAGGAGAGATAGACAATGAATTAAGTATTTCTTCTTTGACTTGCTTTTAAAAAGTTTCAAGTAACATTCGATGATTTGAAGTAAATTTAATAAAAAGTATATATATGTAGAGCAAGGCGAGGCACAAATGTCCAATTTGACTTTGAGCAAATATGAATTATATTACGAAAATCAAACCAATTATATCACAACAAATAACACATTTCAATCGAACAATTATTATTTATCTGACTACGTTTAGTAAATTGCCAGCTACTTTATCAAAGTAAAAACGTGCTCTTTTGATGTGTTACAAAAATTCGTTATGAAAAAACTTGGAACGGCTATGTGGCAAACAGGTTTAATGCCTTTTTTTAATTTTAAAGGTATTTTACAAAATAATTACATTTTTAACTAATGCTGAAAAACTAGCAACGGAAGAAAATACTTTTACTATGTATTTTCAAAGATTACCATTCATTGCCCGATAGCAAAGTCATAAGAATCAGGGTTATAGCTGGTTATACATCTTTTTCCCTTTACTTTCAAATAATGTTGTTAAACAATGCTTAGCTTTACTGGTTTTAAATACTTTGGTGGTACAACTTTTAACCTCGGACCTTCAAATATTACTATCCATTCTTCGATAAATTCTGGAAAATTGTAACTGGAAATAAGTTATTTGACAAAATGTCCCTTCGATATATTTCAAATTTATATATATATATATATATATATATACATATATATATAAAACCAAGAACTAATAATCTTTCGCTAGAGTTAATCGAGTAATTTCAATTAGACCTTTTTGTTGTCGAATCAAAGAACATTTGCTGATAATATTTATATGTCAATTAGTTGTAAACACCTAAAACATTTTATAACTTATGCATAAAGAAATTATAAATTAACAACAATTAATATATAACTATTTACATTTTTATTACAAATTTTGAGGTTATGTTAAGAAACTATATTTCAAAATATTTTTTTTATTAATTTGTTGATGATTATACTTATTGCTGATATATATAATATAAACACCTCAAATGCTTTATTTAAATACGTATAAACTAACATATATAAATACCTAAGTATATGAAAAATTGCATTCCCATTTCCAAGAAATAAATTTCCCAATCGTCCATGTGGCATCGCTTGCTATTATTAAGAATTAATTTACTTGCCACTTCGTATTAATTTTCCGTGATGATTAAAATATTTATATTATTCACGTAATAATTTTCCAAAAGTAATGATTAAAAAATGCACTTTAATATTTATTTATTTATTTATTTATTTATTTATTTAAATATATAGCCCACAGATTTCTCCAAGAGGACTCAAAAATACAATTATTTGACATAATGAATAACAATTAAAATATACACAAAATTACAATATATAGTTAGTAACATAAAATGCTAAGATAAAATTTCATATAATGCAGAATGTAACAATAATAATTATAAACAGAAAATAATAAGATATTTGAAAGAAAATAAAAAGATTAACTTGTGCAGATGGAGATTATTTGATTAGGTGATGTGTTGTGAATGTCTATTTCATTATTAATTAAGTTAAAGTTAGAGGACATTAGTAAAATTGGCGAATTTAAGAGAGAATTAGATTTAGGGGTGGGATAATTGAAAAATAATTGTGAACGCGAAGATAGCCTTGGAACATTAAAGGATAGTTGATTGAGAATAAGAGGACAGTCTATAGAATTATTGCAAAGCTTAAATAAGAACATAATTGTACAGATAAATCGACGTGAGGCAAGGGAAGGAATACCAAATTCTTTTAGTAAAGTGTTGTGGTCAAAGCCACGTTCAGGGTAAATTTTATATGTTTTATAATAAAGGTATTTCAGAAATTTTCGCTGAACCTTCTCTATCGCATCAGAGTTGTTGATATGATGAGGATACCAAATAATCGAACCGTATTCTAATTTTGAACGTACAATAGAATAGTACATGCAAAGAAGTGCATTGGTAGACTTAAATTGTTTACAATTTCTTAGTATCAAACCTAAAGATTGATGTGCTCTATTGCAAATATCAGTAACATGATCTGTGAAAAACAAACCAGAATCAAATAGAACACCTAAATCGGAAATTTTATTACATCTATCAATGCTGGTGTTAGAAATTTTATAATCAAAAAGTATTGGAACGCGCTTATGTGTAAAACTAAGAATCTTGCACTTCGATATATTCAAATGTAATTTGTTAAAGACACACCAAGAGTGGAAAGAGTCAAGTTGAGACTGTAATAATAATCAGTCATCAATAGAATTTATTTTGAGATATAGCTTGAGATCATCTGCAAATAATAAATGTGGACAGTTAATAGTATCAGAAATGTCATTAATAAAAATAATAAATAATAGTGGACCAAGAATGGATCCCTGAGGAACTCCTGAACTAATATTTTCAATGTTGCTCAAGAATCCATTAAGAAAGACAAACTGCTTGCGATTATGAAGATAACTTTTGAAAAAGTGAATAAGTGAAGAATTAAGACCAATCTTAGATAATTTAGTAAGGAGAATGTTATGATCAATTTTATCAAAAGCTTTACTGAAATCAGTGTAAATAACGTCAACTTGTCCATTGATGTCAAGATTCTCAGCTATATATTGTTTAATACAAATTAAATTTGTTATCGTTGAACGGGCAGGCATGAAACCATGTTGATTAATAGAAATTAAAGTTCTAACAGAAGGAATTAGTTCTCTATAAATAATTTTTTCAAATACCTTAGCAAAGTTTGATAATAATGATATCGGCCTGTAATTAGTAATGTTTGATGTAACACCTTGTTTAAAAGTTGGAACTAATCGTGCAATTTTCCAACAATTTGGAAAAGTGTTTGTACGCAAAGATAGATTAAATAAAAATGCAAGTGGATCAGATAGAGTAGATGAGCAATCACGTATAAAGAAAGATGGAATACCATCGAAACCAAATATTTTGGAGTTCTTAAAACTTGCTATTGCATGTTGCACAGTACTAGAATCAATTTCACCTATATCAATCATGATTCTATCATTATGATCAAATAAAATGGGTATGTCAAGTTTAGGCTGATAAACACTAATAAAGTAAGAATTAAATGCATCAACAATAGCATCAGGAGAATCATAATATTTGTCTAGATAGCACAATCTATTAGGAATAATATTAGAAGCAGTTTTATTACGCAAAAAAGACCAAAAATATTTAGGATTAAGCGATAGAGAATTTTCAACGTCAATAATATATGAATTATAGGCATCTTTCATAAGTATTTTTATTAATTTCCTGTACAATTTAAAATTTTCATAATAGAAAGTGATATTGGTTAACTTGTATTTATTATGATAGTATTTCTTCATACGGAGGTTTCTAATAATATCAGAATTAAACCAAGGCTTAAATTTATTGGAAGAAAATTTCTTTGTTTTAGGAACAAATTTATCTAATAAGCTATAAATTGTAGCGTAAAAAAGATCACATGCATCATTAATGTCAGAACATGTATACAAAGAACTCCACGATGTATTTAAAATTTCCCTGTAAAGATTAAGATAATCCGCTTTGTGGAAATTGTAATGATAGTTATTTTTATTAAATTGCAAAGTATTGGGTGTGGAAAAAGAAGATGTAAGGGAAACAGAAATATAAAGAGCAGGATGATAATTGTCCTCAGGTAAAAGGGGTTCGGTATCATGAATTATGTTGCAAAAGTAAGAACAAAACACTAAATCCAACAATCTGCCACTGATATTGATAACAGAATTATATTGGTTGAGACCAGATAAATTAATAAAATTATAGATAAAGTTACATTTTGCATTAGTAAGATTATGAGATAATTGATCGAAATGTGGAACATTGAAATCACCAATAATTAAAACATTTTTGTCTGAAACATAAGATTCTAGTAGATCAAGGAAAGCTTCAAAATTCTCAGTAGATACATCAGGTGGAACGTAAACGGTCAATACTAATATGCTTGAATTCTTGAGGATACACTTGCAGCCAACAATATCAATCATTGGAAGCGATTCACAAATAAAGTTCAATTTCAAAAGTTCACAAGTAATATATTTTTTAACTGCAAGAAGTACACCACCACCACGATATTTATTGTTGATACCATAAGTTCTATCACATCTGAAAACATTGAAACTGTCGCAAAAGAATTCAGAGTTGTGAACATCGTTCCTAAGCCATGTTTCAGAAAAAGCGACGAAATCATAATCAAGATAACTAGATGCGAGCAGGCAGTCGGAAATTTTAGTGTTGAGTCCACGAACATTTTGATAGTAACATGTAAAGACATTACTATCTGTGGGCGAAATTAGTTTAAAGAAACAATTCGAGGAACGCCATTAATGTATTTAATTTTAAGATTAACTTCACCTTTTTTCTCGCGTTCAAGTAGCTGAGCTTTCAGTCTTTGATAATAAAGTTGTTGCCTTGGTGTCCGATCCTCACTGATAATCAAATTCTTGAAGTGGACATTATCCTTAATTTTCTTGCAGTTGAACAAAATTTTCTTTGGTAAGTTATTATCCTTGAAGATAACTTTAAGCGGTCTTGGCTTAGTCCTTTTTGAATCAAATTTACCCAATCTATATAGTTCGAAGCTCGACGGAACACAAGGTACTCCTAATGAAGCTTCAAATATATTGTTAATCATATTAGTATCAACACTTTTATCATAATTGTTTACGTCATTAAGAGGCTCTTTGGCGTTATATATTATGATATTATATGAACGTTTATTGCGTTCAGAAGTCTCTTGAACTAATGCTTCAAATTGTTCATCATCCAGAATATTATTGTTGCAAGACCTATGATCTTTTAGTGCAGCAACTTCTCGTTGTAGCTGCATTAACATACTCTTGATATCATTCAGGTCATTACCGAGATTAGCACATGAATTGCAATTCCACATTATTCCTTTTTTTGATGATATTGCTCGAACATCAGCCAAGCTCAAGTTCACGCATGAATACTTAAACTTTGTTTTGCACGAAATACATGTCACCATCTTGTCAAAGGCAACTGCAATATTACAGCATGAACACGTATTTTCCAAATTCATAATTATATGCTTATTTCACTTATATAAGCGATGTTTACAACAATATTCAAGAATTTTATGATTAGAAAATACTTATATTAAATTCAAAATATTTTATATGATTTTGACAATGATGTTTTTTTGTTTTATTTAGAACATTTAAAAGATATTTGTATCAAAACAGAAACACCGAATGGCGAATGACAGTTGACCATTGAAAGTAAATGTCATGGATGAAATCATTGATAGAATCATAGATTCAATAAACTAAATGGATAGTTTATAAATAATTAATTTTGAATTTGAATGAAAAACGGGATAAAAAGTATCTCATATGTTTCTCATGGCTCTAAACTACCTTTCTGCCAATTTGTGTTCTAACTTAAGCAATCCTCTTTTATATATATACTAGCAAACCCAACGAACTCCGTTTCGCCACCAGATGGTTTCGTGAGAAAGATGAAGAAATTTTTTGTTTGTTCTATATTTGAAAAGGAAAAATGTGATTTTATTATACAACGTAATGAATTTATTTCGATTACAAAAATGAAGTGTTTTTTAGTTGAACTTCTCTAAGTAAATGAAAGTGATCCGCAAATTATCCGTTCATTGAAGTGCTCTTTGGTAAACCACATTTTTGTTTTTTGGTGACGTTAACACAAACAAAGCGAATGGTTTTCCAACTCGTGAACAGGCAACGTGTAACTGCCCATGTAAAAAACAATGATTTTCTAATAATTTATTTGAAATTTATCCCGCAAACACTAAGCGATTGCCCTTGCGACTTGTTATTGCGAACGCGAACAAATTGCAATCGTTTGAAGTCAAATTGAAGACCAGTCGGAATCATTGGTATGTCACCAAATCGCCAGCAATTTTTGATTGAATGGTGAAATTCAGTGCGTGTACATCATTATTCTTTGCGGCAAGAATTGCTCGTTGACTTAACCAAGCATAATTCTGATAATTCTCACTAACGTCATTACTCGAATTTTTAATTATGGTGCATGAAGTACCAGCAATTTGCATTAGGGCACGATGCCATACACCACCAGTTAATATTTAAAATAATTATAATTTTTTTTCTAGGTGTGGAGATGCTTTTTGCAGTTGGTTCCAAAATTTCTCCTCACCAATTTGAGACAACCAGAACCATTTGGGTTCTGGTAAATTGGTGGTTTGGTATGGTATTGACAGAATGTGTTAGTGGTACAATTACTTTGGATTGTCCTGAATATAGGCCAAATACTATTGGCTTTGTTTGTGTCAACACAGAACTGAAGGTAAGCAGTAAATATAGAAAATTCGGGAAATTTTTTGGTTTTTGTCAAATAACTTAAAAATTTCATATGGAACCACCTCTTTTCAGTTAGACAGGGTGAAACTAGATAAATTTTACAACTTTCCAAAGAAACACTTTTATACACACCGATATAAAAGTTTTGAATAAAACGACTTTGAATAATATTTACCTTTTTCCCCAGATAGTAGACATGGATACAGGCCTAAATCTTGGCCCAAACAAACAAGGAGAGATCTACCTTTGTGGCCCAACCATGTTGGGCTATTTTGGCAACCAAGAGGCAACCGATTCGGTTTGGACGCACAAACCGGTTGGTTCAAAACCGGAGACGTCGGTTATTACGACGAAGACGGTTATGTCTATATAACCGATCGTGTTAAGGAGATTGCTAAATATAAAGGAATATATGTATGTAAAATTAAATTCTATTACTACCAATTAGGGAATGCAATACCGGTATACCGGTATACCGAATTACCGGTAAATCACCCGATTTTTCGGCGGTATTTTTACCGGTATTTACCCCAAAAATACCGGTATTTTCGGTATTTTTACATAAGCGCTATTTGATACATAATACCCTAAAGTTTAAATTTCTCGGAACAAATTTATCTTTAGATTCCATAATCGCATAAACAGCTATATCTTCAAGTGATTCTTTAAGATAAATAAATGTCAAATATTATCTCAACTCGTCATTAAACTGTATATTTATTGCTTTCCAAAGGGCTTCATATCGTGTTACAATAAATAGAATTGGACTGATAGATAATGATGTTTGTTTCATCTTATGTAAAAATATAACAGTTTTTTAAGTGACATTTGGGCCAAAATATTTTATATCATACAGATTGCCCCTGCGTAAGCTTTATTTTTTTTCAAATTTTATACATAATACTTATGATAATTACTAAATATTTTTGCTTTTTAATGCAATTATAAAATATTATTTTTTGAAAACGTTTCGAAGTTTGAAAATGCTATAGAAGCATCATATTGTTTTAAATAACAATACTCAACAATTATAGTAACTTATTATTTATCTTGACAAAGTATCCGATCTTAAATTAATGCAGAAAATTATTTTTTTAAAATATTGGAGATTATGCTAATTTAACACATCGAATACAGACAATACAGTTTATTATAATAATGTAATATGATCTTTTATGAGTTTTTGGTCTTTCTTACTTATAAGTTTGTTTTTGGTGAAAAGTACTCAATATACTCGATAGTGATAATGAGTTAATTAAATTCGATATAATTTTGTTAAATTATTATTTAAAAAAATAAATTCCTTGTTTTATTTTATTGTTTTTATTGTTTATTTGAATATAGTTGTAGTTATATACATTTTTTTTATTTGTACCAGTAACTTTCAATTTTGTTTACGTTTGTTAAAGATAATAAAAGTACCGGTAACTTACCGGTATTACGGTTTTAAAATGAAAAACTACCGAAATACCGGTATTAAAATTTTCCATCGGTATAGCATTCCCGACTACCAATTACCACCAATTTACTAATTAATTAATTAATAATTTATTATTTTTTTCTTAAGGTAAACCCAAGTGACATCGAGGACAAAGTTTGCAAACATCCTTCGGTAAGAAGTTGTGCAGTTGTATCAGTACCTCATGATGAAGTTTGCGATTTGATGGTCGGATTTGTTGAACTTTTACCAGGATACGAGGACAAGGTCACTGCTGAAGAACTGGAGGAATATACCAATGGTAAGTTGCAAAAAAAAGTTTTGTATAAAACGCGTTTGAGTTCGATATTTTATTCTCAAGCAATAAATATAGAAAATTCGGGACATTTTTTTGGTTTTTGTCAAATAACTCAAAAATTGCAAGAAAACCACCCTTTTTAACTTACATAGGGTGAAACTAGATATAATTTACAACATTTCCTGGAGAAGACTTTTATACACTCCGATATAAATATTTTGAATAAAACGACTTTGAATTTGTATATCTAATATCGTATAAAAGAATCCAATGGGAATCCACTAAGATTCCTACTTTTCTAAAGAGATTGCATGCAGCGCCTCTATGTTAAATTGTTCCCAATTCTCGAGGAACTACGTAGTGACTACCGGGTTCATATGGTTCTGTGTTAGATGGCGCCACCGTCGGCAAACGTTCGACAGTTCTCAACGACTCTTATATATATACTAGCTGTCCCATTTTAAATGAGAATTGGATATATAAATGTATATACTGATTTATACATGATTATATATGGCCTAACTGTCTTAGTTTGTATGGAAATTGGATATATAAATGTATATATCAATTTATACATGATTATATATACCCTAACTGTCTTAGTTTGTATGGAAATTGGATATATAAATGTATATATCAATTTATACATGATTATATATACCCTAACTGTCCCAGTTTGTATGGGAACTGGATATATAAATGTATATATTTATTTATACATTATTATACATGGCTTAACTGCCTTAGTTTGTATAGGAATTGGATATATAAATGTATATATCGATTTATACATGATTATATATGGCCTAACTGCCTTAGTTTGTATGAAAATTGGATATATAAATGTATATATTGATTTATACATGATTATATATGGCCTAACTGCCTTAGTTTGTATGGAAATTGGATATATAAATGTATATACTGATTTATACATGATTATATATGGCCTAACTGTCTTAGTTTGTATGGAAATTGGATATATAAATGTATATATCAATTTATACATGATTATATATACCCTAACTGTCTTAGTTTGTATGGAAATTGGATATATAAATGTATATATCAATTTATACATGATTATATATACCCTAACTGTCCCAGTTTGTATGGGAACTGGATATATAAATGTATATATTTATTTATACATTATTATACATGGCTTAACTGCCTTAGTTTGTATAGGAATTGGATATATAAATGTATATATCGATTTATACATGATTATATATGGCCTAACTGCCTTAGTTTGTATGAAAATTGGATATATAAATGTATATATTGATTTATACATGATTATATATGGCCTAACTGCCTTAGTTTGTATGGGAATTGGATATATAAATGTATATATTGATTTATACATGATTATATATGGCCTAACTGCCCTAGTTTGTATGGAAATTGGATATATAAATGTATATATTGATTTATACATGACCATATATATACTAGCTGTCCCAGTTCGTATGGGAATTGGATATATAAATGTATATATCGATTTATATATGATTATATATGGCCTAACTGCCCTAGTTTGTATGGAAATTGGATATATAAATGTATATATCGATTTATACATGACTATATATATACTAGCTGTCCCAGTTTGTATGCGAAACGGCAAAAAATAAAAAATAAAATTAAAAAAAAACAAAAAAGAAAAAAGAAAAAAATAAAACAATTAAAAAGAAAAAAAGAAAAAAAGAAAAAAAAAAGATATATAAATGTATATATTGAATTATACATGAATTAAATGTATAAATTGTTTTATACTTGTCCTAGTTTCTATGACAAGAGCCTGAAATAATATCTATTATTATTGATTACGGCTTGCTCATGAATAAATAAATAAATAAATAAATAAATAAAATATGGGAATTGGATATCTAAATGCATATTTATAATTATTTCATGAAATATTGGATTTAATATTTTATTCTTAAAGTACCCTAACATGATCAAACAGACACACAATCTTACTTCAACATCTCCATTTTGCATTTGGGTACACGTGCTCGGTTTTTATTTAATATTATTAAATTTAATTAGTAAAACAATATATTTAATATTTTTAACATTTAAATAGATGTCTAAAGTATCATCTATCCAAATTACACTTAATTTGAAGTACCTAAAATGACCAAAAAAAATCTTCAAACTCACCTGACAAAATAACCTTCTTTTGGCACTCGTATTTGCACACACTCGCGATTTATATTAAATTAATAAATAATTTCTATATATATATATATATATATATATATATATATATATATATATATACTAATACACTATATAAACTCAATTAATTTTAATTTATTTAAACTTTATACGGCGAATAAATCATTTTTTTGCTTCTAGTAGTTGCTTCTGCAACTACTTTTACGAGACTGATGGAAAAAACCTCAAAAATGTTCGAATTTAATATAAAATATATTATGTAATATTATTGATATTGAATACAAAAGGTTTTGACGAATTGCTTTGTATGGATTAAAATTCAATAGTCCGGGAAGCACAGACAACAAAACTGTACAATCGCATTATAATAATAAACATATATAATAAATGTGATTTTTTGTTTGAAAATAAAACTTATTAATTAGTTTATTTATTAAATTATTTATATAACAAGTAATTAATTTATTCATTAACTTGTAATAATTTCTTTTAAATATTTATTAATTTAATTATAACGCATTTATTTCATTCAAAAGTTACTCCTTATTTTGAATGAATAAATAATTAATTAATTAATTTTTATAGTTTATTCATTTTTTTATTTTTTTATATATATTTTTTTCAAATTTTTAATAATTCAGCTATTAATTAATTTATTTATTTATTTGGACATTAATTCATTAATTAATTTAATAATTGATTAATCTATTGATTAACTTAATTAATTGTTCAATTATTTATTTAGCTATTAATTAATTCGTTTATTTTTTTGGACAATAATTTATTAATTAATGGAATAATTGATTAATCTATTTATTAACTTAATTAATTGTTTAATTATTTATTTAGATAATAATTAATTAATTTATTTATTTGGACATACACTCATTAATTAAATATTGAATAATTTATTTATTTATTAAGTACCTTAATTAATTATTTATTTATTATTAATCTATTTCATTATTTATTTAGCTATTGATTAATTAATTTATTTATTTGGACATTAATTCATTAATTAATTGAATAATTGATTAATCTATTGATTAACTTAATTAATTGTTTAATTATTTATTTAGCTATATAAATTAATTCATTTATTTATTAGGACATACACTCATAAATTAAATAATTGAATAATTTATGTATTTATTTATACCCGTAATTAATTG